GCTCGCCTCTTAAATGCACCAATGGCACAGGCACCCATGGGAATTATGCTTCTAGTATAGAAATCTGATCATGTGATACTGTGCCCATGGCACATGGCCTTGTTGAAAAAAAAAGTTCAACATGTTTGGCACAGTATATGAAGACATCTAGGTGGTGTCTCTGGTGGCTCAGTGGTAAAGAATCTGTCTGCCAAAGCAAGAGACAAAGGTACGATCCCTGATCCGGAAAGATCCCACATGCCTCAGAGCAACTAAGCCTGTGTGCCACAACTACTGAGTCTGCTCTAGAGTCAGCGAGTCACAATGGCTGAGCCCACGTGCCGCAATTGATGAAGCCAGCATGTCCTAGAGCCCATCCTCCACAACAAGAGAAGCCACCGTGATGAGGAGCTTGCACACTGCAACTAGAGAGTAGCCCCAGCTCTCTGCAACCAGAGAAAAGCCCGAGCAGCAATGAAAACCCAGCACAGCCAAAAAATAAATAAAATTATCTTTTAAAAAAGACCCCTAGGATGGGGGCTAGCCCACCTTGCCTACTACAGCTCCCTCTGGACCTCCAGCTGATCCCCAGAAAGGAACCAGCTTCTACTGTGTACGCTCCAACTGCACCCCAACATGCCCGGCACTCGTGCTCCTTTCCTTCCCACTCCAACACAGACAGCCTGCCCTGCTTCCGTTATAAATCCTAAAAGCCCCGAGGCTGAGATTAACGGCTTTTATTAAACACCAGATTCCAAATCGGAACCCAGTCTGTCTGTCAGCCAGCAGGCATCCCCAGCAAGCACCCAGTTTCTGGGCGCGGGGGGGGGGGCGGGCAAACAAAACTGGGGAAAGGGAAGGTGGTGGGTGGGAAGTCCACTGTCAACTCAGCTTGGCCCGTAGCACTCACGGTCTTCGAAGAGAACCAGTGGGCTCAGCGGGACTAGGCTAGGTTGTCTCATCACTCTGATGTTCTCATCTGTAAAATGCTGAGCTTTCTAAACTTTTTTTTTTTTAATCTAAAGAGGATTAATCTGTCAGTTCTAAAAGGCACTTGGAAACCCCTGGGTCTTAGGAAGATGGAAATTACTCTTCATGAAAGTCTTGGTTTCCCAAACATGGAAAATGTGCAGGCTGCAGACAGAAACAGCAGAAGTCTCATCTGGAAGAACACCTCAGTCCTGAGTGAGCTGGAATGCACCCCTGGTACATTGACACTGCCACAGACTAAACAGTAGATAGTGTGGAAGAACTTGGGCACTCACTCACTCTCTTACCCAAAACCTAGCAGTGGTCTGCAGCGGTTGACCCTGACCGTGCAGGACCATCCTTGTCAGATCAAAGGGGCCAGCGAGAAAAAGGCTCAGAAGTCGGTGTGTCCAGGCAGTGAGAGACTTGGAGGTGTCTCTTCACGGATAACAACAGAGAAAGGGCTGTGAGGAGGATCCATGGCCAAGCATCTCCTGACAGCCAGTATCATACTTAAAAGAGTTTGGGGCAAAGGATGAGTCCTAAGGAATTATGAAAAGGAGCTCCATGGAAGAGAAAGAGCTTTCCAAGCCAAGTGGGCTCTGCAGAGGGGCCTGCCCTGTCCTGCTCTGCCCTGGCAGGGCCCCACCTCTCTGGCATGCTGCCTACTGGGATTACAAGCCAGATGTATAGGGCAGGAGGCTGGGAGAATGATTCTGTCCTTGCCAATCTCAGCCCTTGCCAAGATGACCAAGTCATCAGAGCAAAGCACATCCAAGTCAGAGAGGAACTCACAGGCTACCCGACTGCAGATGTGACAATGGAACTAATAATACTTTTGTTCATCTAATTAAAAACTTGGAGTAACTGTTTTGGAATAAACATTGACAAGTACTTAACTGGAAATACATTGCATGACCTCAATAAAGCCTAAGCAGTTACAAAATCTAAAAGTTACAACAAAAGGCCGTTTGTAAAGGCTCAAAATCAGATACAGAATGTTGTCTTACTGGTGCTCTGTAAATATATTTAATAAACTAAATCTATGAAACATATTTGCAGGATTTGAAAGAAAGTCCAGAGGTGGCTCATTTCTGTATTCGGGACAGAGGACTCAAGGCTGGCACCCTCTAGAACCCCCGAGTGAACAAAGCTCAGTACAGGTGATCATTAAGGGCATCGAGGGGGTGAAAATTACAGGCCTATGACTTTTGTCTTTCACTGACTGCCAAATAGTACCCACAACCATTTGTAAAACCTGAGGTGAGAGAAGAGCAACAGATGGATCTTAATTCCATCACTGGAACTTGCTGGGGATGAGGGATATTGCTAAAGAGAGAATATAGCGCTTTTTTATACTCCGAATTTACAGCTGCCAAATTCCCATGCCTCCCCCACCCCGTTCAAAAAAGCAAATAAATGATCAAATAGGAGATAAGTTGAACAGCCTTGTAGTTAAGAGCTGACAATCTGCACATACTTTTAGAACCACATAAATGTTTCAGATACCAAGACTTAAAATCAATAAGGACTTGGGAATTCTCTGGTGGTACAGTAGTTAGGACTCTGCGCTTTTACCAAGGGCCCAGGTTCAATCCCTGGTTGGGGAACTAAGATCCCACAAACTGCATAGCACGGGGGAGTGGGGGTGGAATCAATAAGGACTCAAAGTGAAATATAATCAGAAACAAATAAACCTAACTTTATTACAAATTAATAACATAAATACACTAAGGCAACTCTGTAAAATAGATTGACTATATATTAAAAGAAAAAAGAAAAAACTAGCACATGCAAATATCATACTCTACTTAAGTAGGTTTGTTTTTCACAGAAATATGGCTTGGCAATACTGAATCTATACGTAGTCTAGGATTGAGCAAAAAGGTAAACATACTGAGGACAATAGGGCTTCCTCTATGGCTCAGCAGTAAAGAATCCACCTGCCAGTGCAGGAGATGTAGGTCCAATCCTTGGGTGGAGAAGATCCTCTGGAGAAGGAAATGGCAACCCACTCTAGTATTCTGGCCTGGAGAATTCCACGGACAGAGCAGCCTGGTGGGCTATAGTCCCTGGGGTTGCAAAGAGTCAGACATGACTCGGGGACAAAGACCAGACCAGACTGAGACAACGGGAGCCAGAGTTAGAGAGCAAAAAGGAATGTATTAATAGAAAGAACCCTGCGGTGATAGACTGAAATTGGAGGTATCAATATAAATTCAGTTTTTAATATAGACACAGATGTATGGATATAGAAATAGATACAGATGTATAGGGGGCACACAAGGTTATGTTTCTTAGTGCTGCCCATTGAGAAAGCCAAAAAGTAATAACCCTCCAGTAGCAATGAGCATACCTCCAAAGATCTTGGTTACTAAAGAAAAAAAATCTTCTAAATTAAAAGGAACTAACACTCCTTACAGAAATTTCTGATTTCAGGTTAGGTCAAGGAAAGCACAAGATTGAGTCCAGAATATCCTATGGTACCAGAAAATAAGGAAGTGCTCAAAATGTTGGGGATAGGCTAAAAAGGACACAGAAGCTAACCTAAATGGGCCAAATCTGCACAACAGACCAACAAAATAAATGATAGTAATGGACTTCTGTGTGTGCATGCTCAGTCTTGTGTGATTCTTTGCAACCCCATGACTGTAGCCGGCCAGGGTCCTCTGTCCATGGAATTTAACAGGCAAGAATACTGGAGTGGGTTGCCATTTCCTGCCCCAGGGGATCTTCCTCACCCAGGGATTGAACCCCCATCTCTCGTGTCTCATGCATTGGCAGGCAGATTCTTTACCACTGAGTCACCTTGGAAGCCCTTAGTAATGGTCTATAACCTATGAAATAGAATTAAAATGTCTATGCCAAGATAAATAACTGAATAAATTAAAATATGGAAGGTTCTTCCTTACAGTAGAATTCCAACTTAAAAAGTAAAAATAATGGAAATGAAAAAAATCACTCTGTAGCAAAAGCAACACTTAACAGTTGTTTCAGAAAATGCTCACTTCTGGATGATAAAATTAGTGATTGGCAGTATGGTTATAAACAATATATTCACACACTTTCAAAGTAACTAACTCCCCATGGGAAAAATAGTAACTCAGTGATGGAAACACCATATAGATATCTCCTAACAAAAACGACCCCAGTTAGTGCCAGCAGTAATGGGACAAATCGACATTATACGACTCCTGATAAGATGCAGAGAAAAACACAATTTCACAGGTAAGGTTTTTCTTACCAAAAATGCCTAACTTAAAAGTAATCATAAGGGAACATCAGATAAACCCAAACTGAGGGGCATTCTACAAAACAACTGACTCATAAAAGTCAAGGGATGACTGAGGAAGCGCTCCAGATTAAAGAATAAGAAAGAAAACACGGACGGTCCTGGATTGGATCTTGTAAAAGAGAAAAGTCATCCGTAGGATAATTGCTGAGTCTGAATAAATCCTTTACATTAGATCATATTTTTGTATGAGTTAAGTTTCCTCAGTTTGCTAAAAAGAACTATGGTAACATAAGAGATTAACATTTGGGGGCACCTCGGTAAAAGTACCGAGGCAATCTTTATACTCCTTTTGCAACTCTTTTGTAAATCTCAAATAATTTTTTTTCTTTAGTTACTCTGGACCAGGCTGTCTGGGTCTGAACCTGTCCTCACTGGCTGTGGAACCGGTAAACTCTCCTATTTCTGCAGCGCCCACCTCTTCAGGTTCCTGAAAGGATCGAATAACAACGCAGAAAACTCAAAGCGTGGCGCCAGCGAACGCCCCAGCCTTCCCACCCCGTCTGCGACACGGGCGCTGCAGAGAAGAGTCCGGGCTCTGCGTACCGGGCTCCGCGGGCCCGGCACCGCTCTCGCGCCCACAGCCCTGCAGGGAGGCTCCAAGGGAGTGCGCGGCGTCTGGCAGGACTTCGACGTCTCGAGTTTTTCCAAGAAAAGCGACGATGCCCGTGAAAAGCGACCCAAAGGGCCACACCTTCTCGCGTAGGGGGCCCCGGGCCCCTCGACGCCCCGCCGCGTAGCCCCCGCGCCCGCGCCTCACCCGGAACGCTGGCCCCGGGCAGCCTCCAGTCCCTCCGCGTTGCCATGGTAACCGGAGTCGGTCAGCGGCCGTCCGGGCGCTCTCGGTACAGCGCTCGGGTTCCGCCGGCCGGAAACGCGAGCCCTGACATCTGGTTCCGGGTCCTTCGCGCCCCGCCCGTGCGCAGGTACACCAGAGCTAGGAAGGCTCCGGACTATAGGGGGATGGCAGGTGGCCGGGTTCCGCAATCCCGCCGGTCTCGTAGCCCCGAAGCTGTTGGCGGCTCTGACAGGTCGGGGTGGGGCCTACAGGGAGCTGTACCTAGGAAGGAAGGGGCCCAGGCTGCACATGGGCGTGGAGCGGAGTAAACGTCCTAGACCACTAGAGTTGCGTCTTCACGCGTGGATCCTCCGGCAGTGAAACACGCAGACCCTGCGAGGGGGCTCCGGGAGAGGGGGGCAAGCAGTGAGCTCTGCGTGCCCGGGGGGAGCGGGCTCAGGGTGGCGGGATGGCCTTTCTGGCCAGCACCCTTGTTCTGGGCGCTGTTGCACTGTGTGCTTGACTTATGAGAATTCATGTTTGCACTCATAACCTGTGTGCTTTGGTGTTTGTGTGTCCAATTATGAGTTAAAAAAAAAAAAACACCACCTCACAGAGGCAACGAGCAAACCATTATGCCAAGGCCCCCATTCCATAATTTGAGACCCTCTTCCCCAGCTTCTGAAGGTCTATTGGAGCTGAAGAGGACCACTTGTCCCAACAAACGGAGACACCCATGTTCAGCCTGCCTGGCCAGTGGCACCGCGGAGCTGCAGGAAGTAATGGGCACAGAAACAGTGGTGGCAGCAGAGAGGGGGACATAGTCTTTGGTCCAGCCTCTCCTCCCCATCTGTGTTTCCTCCACCTTGATGGCATTCTAGCTGCACAGGGCCAGTCCCCAAGCTGTTCCTGCCAGACCTCTCAACATAGTTAATAGTAAGAAAGGCTCTGCTTTAAGAGGCAGCTCTTTGAGGGAGGTCCAGGGGTTACTAAACATCAGGCAGATCAATAATTCAAGCCTCCTGGAGAATGGAAGATGTGATCCTATCAGTGCACGGAAACCATGTGAAAATAGCCCTGCCTACCTGCCTGGAGAAGCCATAGAGGATCTGCATGACCTTTAACCTATATCCCATAGGCCCTGGGCAGCCTCACTGCCCCCAGTCCAGCTTCAAAGGGCAGTTCAGCTTCAAACCTCAGGCCCGCTCCTCTTGGTATAGTTTGCTGGGACTCTGCTCTTCTCATGAAGTAGATATAATGCCTTCCATTCCTCATGGATTTAAGAATCAGAAACAACAACAATATGAACTACGTGGGTGCTAGGTCAGCCCAAGTGAAGGGGCTCTGGGGTGTGTGTGTATAAACCAAAAGGGCCGAGAGGATGCACACTTTTGAATAAAACTAAATCCTAACAACAAATATGAGCTCTGCACCTCACCATCCACATTCTGAAACCTGACCAACCCCATCATGACCCTCTCCCTCCAATTATCCCTACACTAACCCTAACCGGAGCCCTGACCTTGACCCTAACTCTGTGACTTCATCAACACTAATTCTACCCCCTAACTCTGACCCACCCAACCATAACCCTGTCCCTGCAATAAACCCCACCCTGACCCTGACCCTGGGCACTAACCCTAAGGGTGGCCCTTGATTCCTATGGTAGGGCCAGCTCCTACCACTTCAACCGCCCAATATCCCAGAACCTCTGATTCCCTCACCTAAGCCCCAGATAAGGCTTCTGGGGTGCTGGGCACAGAGAGGGATGGTACTCCCCTGCCCCTGCACATCATGCAGCCCCCAGAATGATGGAGGCCAGCGGTGGGCTCTCAGCATCCTGGGAAGGACCTTGTCACTCCTGGTGGGCCCACTGCCCCACTAGGGTCTGCAACTTTGTCCACTTGGGCTCTGGAGCTCGGCCCCTTATCTGTGCCCCATGTCCAGGAGCTCAGTAGATGCTCATGGAAGGGGAGAAGGGACACGCTGATCACTCTCTACCCAGCTCCCTGCCCAATCTTCCCACAGGTCAGGCCAGACCCAACATTCTCCCCATCTGTCTCCCCCGACCTGCCCACCATCCTGCCGGTCAGACCAGACCCCCTCTTCCACCCAGAATGCCTTCTGCCCACCCTGCAAGGCAAGTGACGCTTCAGCCACCCTGCTGCATCCACACTGTAGCCAGTGCTGACGGACCATGTGTCTGTCCTGGGGCCACACAGTGACCACAAACCTGGGGTCTTGAGACAACAGTTCTGGAGGTCACAAACCCAAATCAAGGTGTCTGCAGGGCTTTGCTCCCTCCAAAGGCCCTGGATAGAATCCTGACCCACCCTTTCCAGCTTCAGGTATCTAGTGGCGCTATCCTTGGTGTCCCTCAGCCCACTGACACATCACTCCACTCTCTGCCTCCATCATCACATGGCCTTCCTCCTGGATCTCTCTTCACAGGTTCTTTTCCAAAGACACCAGCCCTACTGGGCTAGACCCACCCTGCTCCCATGTGACCTCATCTTAACTAATTACATCTATAAAGTTCCTACTTCCAGTGACTTCCCTGGTGGTCCAGTGGCTAAGACTCCACAACTCCCGATGCAGGGAGCACAGCTTCAATACCTGATCAGGGAACTAGATCCCACATGCTGCGACTAAAAATCTCTCATGCCACAATGAAGACTGAAGATCCTGCGTGCAACAATTAAAACCTGGAACAGCCGAATATATAAACATATTTTTAAAAGTCCCTATTTCTAAGGAAGGTCACATCCTGAAGTACTGGGACCAGAACACATCTTTTTGGGGCCATCATTCAACCCGCCACAGACTGCTTCCCCTGGGATGATAGCTCTCCATGGCCAGTTGCCCACAGGCCACCCTGTTCTCACTCCTCACAGATGTGGTAACAGAACAGTGGAGGTTTAGGTTAACTCCCTGCCCAGCACCTGCATGACTAGCATAGCCAGGATCAAACTGTCCCCGCACCCCCAAGCATACGGTGGGAGCCTGTGAGGGTTCAATGCCTGTGGGATGATAACAATATTTCAGGGCCGCTCAAGGGCCAGCAAAGGGCTAATGCTGGACCTTTCTGAGAAGCCAGTGGGCCCTGAGGAGCCCTGCTTCCCAGTATGTCATCTGGGATGGCCACACTCGAGTGATTCTAGAACTCTCCACACTTTACAGATGAGGAAACTGAGGCCAGGGCCCTCAGGAGTGGGCCAAGGCTGCCAGCCTAGGGGGGGGTGGTCAGCCATCCTGCTCCCATTGGTTCCCCCCCTCCCCCACACCTAAGCTCAGAGCAGATGTCAACACTGGGTGGCAGGCTAGCTCATTGTGGGGTGGGGTAAACCTGGATGGCCACCCATCAAAGGGCTGGACTTGGGTTCTGGCCCCCAGATCCTGGAATGTTGCCTGTCCTGGGGGAGCATGAGTGACCCCTGTGTGGGCACACTGGCCTGGCAGCTGGATGCCCTCCCAGGACAGTGCCCCCTAGTGGTGGCAGAGAGAACAAAGAGCTGCCTGTTGAGGCCCCCATTCTGACTGCCCATGACTCCAGGTCCTTCCTCCAGCTTTTGGCCACAGCACTCATGGTGCTGGGAGCTGACCTCACAGTGGGAGCCCTACTGCAGGCCTCTCATGGGGTCCCCAAATCACAGGGGTCTGGGTGGGGCCCGCTTGGACACATGGCCTTGAGCAAGTCACTTCCCCCTTGGGTTAGGAAGGTGCCTGTGCTGGGCTGCAATGACCTACCCACTTGCTCACAGGCCCCAGGGCAGGAAAGGCCAGGCTGCTATCTGCTGCTTGGGCCTCTGTGTGCCCCGATGGACTTCCAGAAGGGGGTGGACCAATTCCCTGGTGGGATCCCAAGGAAATAGGGACCAGTGGGGGCTTCGTGGGAGATGTCCTTCACCCCTCACCCAAGTATGTGCCAGGCCATGGTCAGCCAGCTGAATGGTCCCTGCCCACGTCCCCAAACAAGCAATGCCCTGTGAACTGGGCAGCAAACTGGGGCAGGGGCGGGCATCCTCATGGTCCACAACCAGGAAGGGCCTCTGGTGGCAAGCACAGCGCTCCTGGAAGAGATCAGTGAAGAGGGGGGCCAAGGTAGCCATTTCCTAGAGGTCAAGGCCTGAGACAGAGGCCCGGCTCTGGACGTGGGCAGGACAGAGGAGGGTATTCCTTGGAAGACTCATGTCAAAGGGATGAGCTGCCCAACGAGTGGGAACCAAGAGGGGGTGCGCCTCACCAGGTCAGCTGACCCCGACAGCCGTCTTGCCCGGGGGGCTGGTGTCCACCTCACTTTGCTGGCCATTGCAGTTCTGGGCCAGGGGTTCTGGGCTAAGGAATTCCAGTCACCTAATCCCCAGAGACCATAAGGTCCACACTCTGGGGTGAAAGTGAGGAGGCCAAAGGTGAGGGAGGCCAGGAGCTGGAGTGGCCAAGCAGAGTGGGGACAGGACCCACTCGCATGCCTTCCTGGAAACCACCTGTGAGCTGGCACTCAAGGGGCAAGGGACTGGCTGTGTCCTACCCTCCCCTGAGTGCCCCCAGGCATTCTGCCGAGCTGTGCTGAGTCACAGGAGGAGGGCTGCGGTTGGCACAGGAAGGTTGAGCAAGGCCTTTCTTCTCAGTGGCTGCACCTACGCTCAGCCTGGCACGAAGCCCGGTCCACTCTCTCGGCCCCTTGGTGGCTCCTGGCCTGATTCCTTGCCAATCCTGGCTGTGTCCTCCAGCTGTCCATCCCAGCCTAGTGAAAGCCAAGGGCAGGGTGGGCTGAGACATCCATATCCCCCACCTCAGGAGGACTTTCCCAGGCCTCCAGGGGCCAGGCAGGGGCTGGGGCATGACCTCTGTCTCCTGGGGCTGAGATGCTCCAAGTTGAGATTAGGGGGTGAGTGGAGAGCTATGAATCTGGGTACCACCTCAGAGAAGGCAGCCCAGGTGAGCCAAGTTGGAGCCCTAGACAGCAAAACCAATTAACAAAAAACCCACACCCAGCTCCCCCCTAATCAAGTAGTCAGATCCCCGGCG